AATGCCGAGACAGAAATTTTAGCTGAACACAAGAATATGAAGGTAACGATGATCTCAAGCAGTAAATATGTCCTGAGCAAAAGATAGAACCTCAACGGTAGAAACTATCTTACTTGAGTATTTCAAGCAGATCACCAAACGCACGGACACAATGAACAGACACCGGCTTTTTCAATTCCTTTGCAAGTTCAAGCTGTTGTCGAAAAACTCCAACCTGAAACAAATAATTTGGAACCATGAAAAATACCACGACAAATAAGGCATCATGCAGTGAAACAGACTTGTACTCACGAATATCAAACCATCACACAAGAAGTGGACAAGTCATCCTAACAGAGAAATCTAAGGTTTCCATGTCCAGAACCTGGTCTGAGAAATCTATCTCTCTTCCTTTTGAACCCTTGTCCAAACCGATCTGAAAAATAAAAGAAGGAAAGGGTGGATAAGCATGATATTACCAAACAATAGCTCTTCAAACAAACAACACGCTAATTCTACCCAAAGGGTGATGAAACATCTTTTCCCCCAGTGGGAGAAACACACCATAGATTATCCGTTTTCTGACAATAAACACTTGAAGATTCAAGAGCTTGAGACCACACACACACACGCACACACATATAAAGATATATAGAAGAAAATTCCAGATATGAGAGGCAGACTTCTCCAACAGCAGCAGCGGGAGTGGTCTCAAAGAAGTTCTTCAATGTGTCAAACCAATGAGGGCTCCTCTCTGCTACATACCTGAAAACCCAATTCCAAATCCAACCAGAAACTAAACTTAAATGTGAAAATTTTCACATCTACGAACTGAATTACTCACATACGTATATACATACAACAACATTCATATGCAATCCGCACCATGGATGAATCCCAAAGCACGGAACAACAGAAGGGTACTTCTCTCCCATCTCTTTAACCAAACCCCAATCATTCTGGTGCAATAAACACGAAACCCGCATCAATTCGGCCTCGAGGAAACTCGTATAAACCTATGGATACACCCGAGGACGATATTATACACGTGAACTGGAGATTACCTCGCAGACCCCGTTGACGGCGAAGGCGGAGACGCCGGAAGCTGCGGCGGCGGAGATGATTTGAGGGACTTTGCCGATGATCCTCGGGTCTTGGAGGTGGCAGTGCGCGTCGAACAATTTCATCCTCGATGCGCTCCGGGAGCGTCTTTTTTTCTTCAAGTAATCCTTTAAAAAGGGTAAGATTCTAAATCGACCCCAATATTTAGGTTATTATTAATAATAACCCCTTAACTCTTTAATCTCCAATATTGACCCAAATATATATTCCAGAACATTTATTACTCGTCCTATAAACATGATGAAGATTATAGTTATACTTCCATATAAAGTCAAAAAGGTTGGTTTTGGGAATTGGGGAGTGAAGAAAATACAGTCACTTTCATTAATTACGGGGCTTGTCTACAAGTAATAAGCGTTACAAATCACAATATTATTATATAATTATATTACAATGGTTTCATCTTCTGACATAGTTTTCGAATCTTTAGAAAAAGAAAACTACTTTTTCAGAATCTTTGAAAGCATATATAGAGTGTCCATGGAAGAAAGGAAGAGACCCATGAAGAAATCGCAGAGCTTTTCTGTTCTTCACAAGCTCCAATGTCTTTCTATCCTCTTACACCAACTTTCCTGCTCCTTCTTTTGCTTCTGCTTCCGCCGGAGTATGTTGCCGGAGAAACGTTCCGGTCACCGGATTTAGTTCAGAACAGTTGGACTGCGGGCGGTGAAGCTGACCGGAAACTTGTTCAGACGACGACGTTTCGTCACCTTGCAAGAGAGGTTAGGGTGCCGCCTTCGGGTCCATCAGGAAGACTTAACTTCCCAGAAAGAGCTCCACCGCACAGATATCGACCGGTGTGCTCTAGCCGACGTGGGGGTCCGAGTTAGTTGAGCATGGTCGGATTCACTTGTTTGTGGGTTTTTTTTCTGTTTGGTTGGCAAGAAAATCTGGTGAGAAAATGAGGGCATGAACAAGAACAAGAAAATGGGTCGGTTCAGGGCTGTTCATGCTTTCACTTTCTCCTTTGTTTCAAGAAAGTTGAACTTTTTTTTTTCTTTCACTTTGTTTCTTTCATTGCAATGGAAAAATTTCTTTTACGTAAAGCGAATGCAATAGAAGCGTTGCCAAAGCAAGACCAACTTATTGCTGTTCGGAGGCAATAGATCCGACAGAAGAAAGAATATCACAGAAACTGATTCCGACCACAGATTAGGTTGTCGCCCTTCACTTCTGAGACTCTGCTTCAGAAGGAGTCTTTGTTGTCATCTGATCAACTGCGTGAACGACGTTCTGAAGCTCAGCCCAGATGGCTTTATAAACCATCCTCTGCCTGTTCACTGTGGATTGCCCCTCGAAAGCCGAGGATACCACGTCAATGCTGCCAATACCCCGCACGTCATGATGAATTAGGTCGATCGATGTGAAAAAATGCATGTTGTGCACAAGAGAACAAGAGTTAAAGGCCGTTATATGGCTTACCATACATGACGTCCGTCTCCAGACATATCCTTAACCGATACTGATTCTGCGTTCAACTCTTCCTTGATCTTCATAATAAACCCGAGAGCGAAACAAGATGAACAAATGCAATCATTCCGTATTCAACAGAGAAAAAATTTAATCTCCACAAACACGTAAAATCTCAGCAAGGAAAAAAGTGACGGTAGTATAAGACTTAATGTGGATCAGAAGCATGATATGTCTTGGACAAAGATTCGTTTTCGGTACTCTATGATTGATCCTAATCTAAATAACCCGAATTACTGAGACATTGGTGGAACATGGAAAATGAAAAGGCATCAATGTATGCATGAGTGTGTATATGTAATATGTATACAACCTACCTATACATGTAAGGTGAAAACATAAGATTAGAAAAAGTCTTTTAAACTGCAGATGCAAGGAAAAGCACATTCGGAAGCTCATCATTTTCCATCTCCACAATACAAGAAACCATGCTTGGATCTTTCCCTTCATCAAGATTTGTGCAACACCCAAATCAGCAACTCTTTCTATTGCAGCAAAAAAAAAAAAAGAGTATTTTCAAAGACGAGAATGCATTACAGCCTCTGCCATTAACTGACACCTGAGTAAGGTCTCAAGGAGATATGAAGACTATGCCACTAATGGCTCTGAAACCTAGAAGAAACCATACCGAAATCCAGGTGATGTCTGTTTAATTCACAAGATTACTCAAATCAGGACGGAACCTTAGCATTTGAAGATTTGTCCATTGTTGAAAATCTAATTGAGACGTGAACTGCTAGTCTGATAGATTAACCTAAAAGCTTCAAAGCTGAAATATTTAGACAAAAACATAAAACGACAACCAAGCTTATACTGGATTGAGCGTGTCCAACCCCTAATTCATAAAAAAATCAGCACAAACAGAAAACCCAGAATCTATTTTCCGACAAGGTTAAAGCACCGATGAAGAAGGGGAAAGAAATGAAATCACACACCTTTTTCTCCATGGATTCCATTAGAGGCTGGTTAATCGACCCAGCATCATTAACAAAAGAGGCTCTGGTACTAAATCCATGTCTACGAATACTCGCACCATCAAACCCATAAACCCTGGGGACTCCGCCGCTGTAAATCGATGCAGCCGCCTCTCCGTAAAGGAGGCGGCAAGACAGAACAGGGCTTGCACAGTTGCAGTTGTTGTTTCTTACGGTGGCCAACGAGACAGCGGCTGCAGAAGAAGAGGCAAAGGGTTTCTTCTGAGATCGGGACAGGAGACGAAGGCTCGAACTTGTGGAGAGAAAAACGTACGGACGAGTCGTGGCCATTAAGCTCTTCGCCATTGTTGAGAGGGAAGAGTGCTCGGGAGAAAAAATGACGGCTTTGAGAGATTGGGCTTGGATACATTTATCATGGGCTTCGCAGAGTAAAAATTTTGATTTTTTTTTTTGTGGGTGCGTAATATCTGTATTTTTTTTTAATCTTTATACTTAAGAATTTATATTAATTTTCCCAAATACGAGACATATTTTAATACCCAAGAATTAGAATATAAAAACCGTTAGGATCATTGTAATCCCATATTATCACACATAAAAATATAGAAAATAGTAGTTGGTATTCAAATTTCAAATTCCACTGTGATAGAGATATTTTTCTAAAGAATTTGGTGATATATAATTAAATAAAATGAATTGAAATCTGGTTTAAAAATAGTTTGTGTATTGTTTTTAAAAATTAATTAATTTAAACTTAAATTAAATATTCAAATAGCTCATATCCTCTTTTATTTCCGGGCAATAAAAATGTTTTCAATGTGTGATATGATATTTGCCTTAAAAAAAACATTGACGTGTGATTCTTTGAAGAAAACAAGAGTTGGAAGTAGCATATCATTCTATAACTGATTGATCTTTTAAAAGTAATTTCCGACTGTACAAGCAAATAAATATTCCTAGTGAATATATATATATATATATATGCATAATTTTACTTCCGGAATGATATTTATATATACAAAAAAAAAACATCTCGGCCGTTGGATCGGGTCATTCACCGTGACACTTCGAGCCACACTTCTTTTCATGTGGATGCCTGTCTCACAGATGGTATTTTGGCAAATGCTTTTTTTTCGGACATTCCCTCATCAGTCTGACTCTGTTTTTTCTTTGTGGTTCCCATCTGATGATGTCCGATCTTCTTCTCGGAATTTTTTTTTTTCTGCCTCTTGATCTTCTTCCCATCTGCGGTTTTACACAGAGCAATGGCCAACGCTCATGCCGACGATTTAGACGAGCTTCTCGATAGTAAGCCCTCGATTGATTTCATTACAACCGTCTCGGTTTTCTCCCTTCTCTTAGTCTCTCTGTCTGTATCTGTACCCACATGTTTTGTGAATTTTATGTGAACGTGTCTTGTTAATGTCTGTTTGGTGATTGATTTTGTGGCCTTTTTTCTGGGTTCTTCTCAAAATTGAGAATTTTCTGTTTCTGTGTGTATATCAGGCGCACTGGATGATTTCAAGGATCTCAATCTTGCTCAAAGGTTACTCCTTTTTCTTACTCTAAATCGTATTGATGTGTTTTTTTCAAAGAATTTTCAATAGGGTTTTGTTCTTGAGAGATTGGGTTAAGTGTCGAGTATGTGTATCGTGTATGTATATTTTTAATAGGGTTTTGTTCTTGAGACTCCGGTGGTTTCGTTCTGTTGTTTCGAAGTTCTGAGATGCTAAATTACATAACAATTTTGAAGTCTTTGGCGTCAAGTTCTCTCTTTATGAGCAGATACGGATATAATAAATCTATGCCTATACCTTTCGCTGTTTTGGTTTGTTGATATGAGTTTATATGATTGGCTCTTTCTTTTGTCCATCTATTACAACTGGGGTTGGAGTTCTAGACACTTTGTTAGAGTCTGTGATCTTTATTGTGTGTTTCCATATGGAAAAGTTTCTTGATTGGTTTAGAGTTGTTCTGTTGTAGAAGTGGGGGAGATGAGAAGAAGGAGAAGGAACTGAATCCATTGCCAAGTGGGGTTCAAGGTCTGGGAATGGGATTACCCGATATGAGAAATAAAAAGAAGGGAAAGCAAAAGGTTGCTAAGGAGGAGAACCATGTTGCAGAAGCTCTTGATAAGCTCAGGGAACAAACCAGGGAGACTGTCAAGGGACTGGAGTCCTTGTCGAAGTCGCCTGTTTCTGATGATGCCATGGTCGAGGATTGGCTCAAACAATTCGAGGAGCTTGCTGGGTCTAAGGTAAATTAACCAACTGAATTGTTTCTTATTCTTTAATCAATTTCTCCTATTCAACCTTTTCTTAGTTATCTAGCATGCGACGTCTATAATATTGTCATAGACTGTCTGAAAGGATGTGATTGAATCCAGATGGATTCTATTGCTTTGCTCTTATGCCACTACTACTTTGTGAGACCGGTGTATCTCCTTCTTGTTACGTCAAGAGGATGGCGATTTCCTTTGATGAATTCTCTGATACCCTTTACTTCACGTAGAAAAGTCCCTTATATGGGTACAAAGCCGTAGAAAAACCTAGAGCGAAAAGGAAACATAACCAAACACAAATAGGAGATTTCTAACACATTACTAAGAGCTTATAATTTCGTAAACTCTTATACTAGGACTCGTAATCTGCATCTTTCTGTAAGCTCCTAGAGCAGGACAGCATATTTCTTAGAGTCTATCTGTTTTTTTTAACTTGTCCAGCTGTAAGGTTGTTTTGTGTTGTTGGTCTTGGATGTGGAGATACGTTTGATTCTTCTGTTGGTGGATGATGTTCTCTATGTAGAACTGATTTTTACAGTTGCTAACTTATAAAGTAGGATCGATTGCACTTGCCAACACTATGGTTATTGGTGGCACTTTCATGTGAGAATTATTTTTAAACTCAAGAGCGATTATTGTTTGATGATTCTTTATCTTTATGTAAAGGATGGGTGTTTCATCTCGATGTCGCTGTCTTTGTTATGCTATTATGAACAGGAAGTGGCCTTTTCCTGATGAATTTCTGTTTGTTTCTTGGGAATTTGAGAGATTATTTCTGGTTTCTGACGTTTCTTTATGGAATTGTCTTATTCTGTAGAATCTTCAACACTATATAGCTCATTGCCATTCATCTAAAAGACTTTTTTCTCTTTCTTTTTGTGAACACAGTTGCTGCCTGATTTATGGAAACAGAGCTTTGAGGACTGTGTTCATAGGATAGACTATGTAGTCAAAATGTTGAAACTTTTTGGATCTGCGAATAAGTGCAGATCAATTCTAGAGAATTCTGAACCGAGATTCTATCAGTTACGACAATCCTGAAACTTTGTCTTGCTTAAGTTTCTGATAGAGGATCATCGTTTAATTAATTTTGGTTTTGATGTACATCAGAAATATCATCTAATGCCCTTCTCTTATTCTGCTCAGGACTTGGAATCTATAGTGGATACAATGATGCAGCAGCTTCTGTCAAAGGACATTCTTCATGAACCCATGAAGGAGATCGGTGAAAGATATCCGAAATGGTTAGAAGAGCATAAAGCCAGTCTGAGTAAAGAAGAATACGAGCGTTACTCGCGCCAGTATGAGCTGATCAAGGAACTCAATGGAGTCTACGAGAACGAGCCAAATAACTCCATCAAGATAATGGACATCATGCAGAAGATGCAGGAATGAGGGCAACCACCGAGCG